GGGGGGGATGGGACGGGACACTCACCAATTTGGCTTCTGTACTCAGCAGACTGTGACTGGGCTCCAGACCTGTGGGGGACACTTGATGCAGGGGTGCAGACACTGTCACCAAGGGACCACCACTGCTTGAGGGCACTTCCGCCCCCTCACTGGTTGCAGGCTGTCCATAGCGCACTCCTGGAGCGGGAGCAGTGTCCAGCCTCAGCACCCCACTTCCCTGCCCGCCTCCATGGCCCCCATCATTCCAAACTGCATTGGTTTGCGCAGACCCCTCACCCCATCTTTATGCAGCCAGCAGACTTTGCTTGAATGTCCATTTCCTGCCAGGCCCTGTGCTGGTTGCTTCCAACTCCTTGAACACAAGTAGGTGCTCAATAAAAGACAACTGAGCCAGGGACTTTCATGGCAGTCCAGTGGTTAAGACTCTGCGCTCCCACTGCAGGAGGCACGGGGTTTGATCCCTGGTCGGGGTAAGATCCCGCATGCCGTGCAGTGTGGTGTGGCCAAAAAAAAAAAAAAGACAACTGAGCCAAACTGAATTGACAGTAATGAAATTAAACCGCAGCAAACTTGAGTTGAACAGAATGAACTGGAATTAGTTGAATGAAACTGAGTACCATTGAATCAAACCAGAAATGAATTGAGATTGATTGAGTTGAATTGGATTGAAATTGAACTGATACAAAATTAACTGAATTTCCTTGAAATACATTTAGCTAAACTGAATCAATTGGGAATTGGATTGGATCAAACTATTCCAAATTTAAATGAACTAAATTAGATTACAATGAGTTGAACTGAATTGAATTGAATTGAACTGAGCTGAAATGAATTGAGTTGGTTTGATCTGGAATGAGTTGAAGTAACTGAAAGCAAGTGAGGGTGGAGTGGATGGAATGGAGTACAGTGGGCGAAGTTGAGTGGTCAATGGAATGGAGAGGGGTGGAGTGGATAGAGCAGTGCAAATAGAGTGGAGTTGGAGCCGTAAGGAAGTGCTAAGAGGTTTGGGTGGCTGCTGCCACTGGGGTGGTGCTCCCCAACTCTCCCACCCACCCCCATATTCCCTCTACCCACCGTCCCAATCCCCCTGCCCACGTGGCACTCACCGTGGACCTTACCAGGGGAGAGGGCCGGTGGGGGCAGGCCAGGGGAGCTGTGGGCAGGCAGCGCAGGGCCTGGGCCTGGCCCTGGTGGCGGCCCGCTGTACGTGTCCATGGCCAGCTTGTGCCGAAAGGCTTCTTCCTTGCGCCGATTGGCAAACCAGTTGTAGACGCGCACCTCTGTGACGAGGTTGGAGCCCAGCCCCTGCGCCTGTGAGGGTGACACCCCCCTCTGGATGCACTCCGCCCTGCAGAAATGGCCACTCATGAGCCTCTGGATCAGGCACAGAAGAACCCTCCCCTGGGGCTGGGGGGAGGATTCTGAGAAGTAGGGCTCTACCTGAGTATTTGCTGAGGCTGGCAGACCTGGGTTCCGAGCCCAGTCTGCTGTGCAACCTTGAGCAAGTGACTTAGCCTCTCTTAATCTCTTCAGTTATAGAGTGAGCCCAGTAAGTGTAAGGTTGTAGTGAGGATGAGTGAGACGAGCAGCCACTCAAGGGCTGCTTGGGTCAGTGGGGGGTGGGTGCCAGGAATGGAGCTAGGTGTCAGACACTGAACAGGAGCTGAGAACTCCTGGGCCAACAGCAAGAGCTCTCAAAACCTGGGGAGCTGGGCTTCCCTGGTGGCGCAGTGGTTGAGAGTCCGCCTGCCGATGCAGGGAACACGGGTTCGTGCCCCGGTCCGGGAAGATCCCACATGCCGTGGAGCAGCTGGGCCCGTGAGCCATGGCCACTGAGCCTGCGCGTCCGGAGCCTGTGCTCCGCAACGGGAGAGGCCACAGCAGTGAGAGGCCCGCGTACCGCAAAAAAAAACAAACAAAAAACGTGGGGAGACTCCCTCAGGACCGAGAGCCCCCCTCGCCTTCCCCCAGCCCAGACCAAACCAGCCCTGCTGACCACCAGCCATTCTACCTGTTACACTCCTCCACCAGCGCCTCCCGCTCCTCCTTGCTGGGGTTCTTCTGCCTCTCGTAGGCCTGGAACAGGATCTGCTGGGATGCTGGGCCCCATTTGAAACGGTTTCTCCGACCCTTCTTGGTTGGTAGCTCATCGCCCATGGGCTCTTCAATCAGCCCACCCTGCCCTGCGTGGGTGAACTCTGTGGGCACAGAGAGCCATTAGCAAAACACTGGCCAATCCCATCTTCCAGCATTGGTTCACCATGCTGGAATTGGTTCACCTAACCATGCCCGTGGTTCTTTCTCATTCCTAGGATGCTGAGCCAGAGGAGCTTACAGCTAGAACTTAGAAATCATCTAATCCAGTGATGACAGACACACAGCACACACACCACCCCTTTCCTAACCTGTGTCCAAGGGAGACATCACTAATCAACCCCTGCGTACTTTGCTACTGGGCCAAGATACACTCTCACAGTCCTCAATACAAGGCTCCAGGTAAGCACTAGCATTTGCTCACATTTGACACATATGCCATCCCATTTTATAGATGAGGCAGCTGAGGATCAGGGAGGTTAAATATTTTCCCAGGGTCGCACAGTAGAGCAGAAACTTGAACTGTATCTCCTGAGTAGGTTCCGTGCTATTTTCAACATTGCAGACTTGAAAATCAAGCTTAAAGTATAAGTATTAGCCAGGAGAGAAGAGACCCAGGCACTTTCTCAGCTGGTTCTTTGGTAGGAGGCCAGTTAATGGCGCCTCCAAATAACAGCTAGTAGCCCTTCAAAAGAGCAGGGGAAATATGTATATAGCCAGTATATACATACGGTACCCCTGGAAGGTTACGTATGAGACCAGGAATGC